AAAAACATAAAAAATGTTTTAAAACATGTTTTAAAACATATTTTAAAACATAAAAAAATAAAAAACATGTTTTTTGCTATTTCTAAATTCCAAGCACCTCAACAAATTTTATTATAAACTTATTCAAGGAATAGAGAACACAAATCTTAATAGCAGTAAGTTTCACAGAAAGTATTACAGCATCAGATAGTATAGAACAAGGAAAAGTTTTGTTCTCACTTGTTTGGTGAATTTTTTATGACCCACTAATATATAAGATTCAAAGCAACAAAAATCTGGGCTATATAATACTTTTCAAAGAGCTGCTAAATCTGCATAAGAACTTATTCAAAGAAACAAAGTTTCACCAAACAGCTTTAGCATATACAAATAACACAACTTGGATAGCTAGTAGCAAAATATATCTAGAAGAAATACTCAAAATTACAGAAGAATTCTACTTAATCAATAATATTTGTATAAATCCAAAAAAGTCAAAACTAAGGGGGCCGCCAGAAATCAGCTGATTTTTTAGGGGGGGTTCATGGTCCAGTTAGGTTATATATAATACTTGTTCTCTGATTGGTTGGTGCTAATGGTTATACAATTCGAGGTGCAGATGTATAATAGGCCATCTATACTATCTGCTATATATACTGATTAGCTATAATTCCGGCTTACGGATTTGCTCACCTACCATCCCTTTGATCGATACCCCCCTTGATTTGTACTGGGTACAAATCAAAGGCCGATTTACTAATAATAAATTTTTTTATTTATGGGCTAATACCGTATTACGCTCCACACAACGTACCCTATACCATACAAGGTACCTAGGGTATAAATTAAAGTTTTTACTATGTGAAATTAAATCGTACCCGGGTACCTTACATGGCATACGGTATACTTATACTAATCTGTGACTTTATAACGGCCTTTTTATTTTAAATAAATATGTATATCCGCACACGAAAAATCAATAATACGATCTTTTTACTACTACGAAGATATGTAACATTTAAAACTTCAGAAGAATTCTTTTATTAACTCCACGTTTTTTATTTAAACACTTTCTTATTTACCTCTTTGTGCATTCTTGCCAGTAGAATACTACGCATTATAAAACAGTTAGATTAATCTAACTACTACGTAGCTATTAATTCTAACTATACTTTCCTTTATCTAAGCATTTCACTATCAGAAAGGCTATATTCGAAATCATTTTCTTTAATTTGTATAGACACGTATAGCTCTATAAGCATATAGGGTTGAGAGTATATAAACTCATGTGTTGCTGAATTAGAATTTTGAGATTTACGAGCAGAATGTTGAGACTGTTTATGTTTTTGAACAAAATTCAAGGTAGGGAAATACTTTCCACATTCTGAACAACATAAACGCTGATGTATTTCTTCTGAAATAGTCGGACAATATTTATCGTAGAGTGGGATTTTGACTCAATCGAAGTATTCAAGAATATGAATTGGATTTAAAAAATGCTGATCACGTCCTTTAATCATTGGGGTAAGAATTCATTGTTTTCTTGTAATAAAGTAGTTGTTGCTTCAGGTACGCGGGATGGCTTACAACAATTTATATTTTTACATTTACGAATATCGAGCGAATAGCAACAGATTTGACAATGGTCTTCAATCCATTGCTATGAAATTTCATCATCATCAAACATATCAATGTGCGTATCCACATATATAGCTCTAACGTTCCTTCCATGACTTTGATCATGTTGCCAAATATCACAAAGCTTTTCTCCTGGAAATATGATTATGTACGAATGTTATAATTTTGCATTAAGTAAATAGATTAGTTTTTAAACTATACCTGAGAAACGAAAATTTTTTTTTGCCAATTCTTTATTAATAACTTTTCCCTGAGAATTGAGGTGAGTACCGTAATGATCTATAGGTAATATGATTCCAGCTAACTTAGACGAGAGAGGTGCCATGCCTCTTTCCACGGGATTAAAAGAAGACTGACCAGGTGCATGGGTACGAACAGTTATATAATCGAGGTTCAAGAAACGAAAAAGTTTACAATATTCTATGATATTTTTTAAGTGTTTTGGATTTTCATCCGGTCTACCATCTACTAATAAAAACCACAACGGTTTAATTTTTTCTTCTATGCAGATAACTTCATCATAGTCTTCCGAATTTGTTATTGAAATCAAATCAGCCATATGTGTCAATGCAGTTGTACCTACAAAATATTCGGGTCAAATGTAAATTGTAAGGTGTCCTGAACGAAAACTATCATTCGTATCATTTGGATTTATTAAAAGATATACGGATGGAATCAGTTTTATTTTTCTGCCTAAAGGAAAATCATGGTCAGGTATAGAAACAGGTTCATTTATTGTTTCGATTGACTTGAATGTTCATCCAACCGCTGGAATCCCCAAAGGAACCTTTGACTTATCGTCTTGGGATATTATTATGGAATGATCGTGAAAGGTTGCAGCAAATGTCCGGGCACTTTTTATAGAAGCGAGACAATAATGACTATCTGGATGATCCGATTTTTCATTCTGTGATACAGATTGAATTTGTACTAATGCGGGGTGGTGGTGCCATTTTGCTGCAAAAGTATTTGGATGTTTTGGCCAAAGGTAGGTCGACAGAGTTTGTCTACTAATATAAAGATTATATTTTTCTTCAAGTTTATCTTTTAAATGTTTGATAGTTCTAACTTTTATTATTATTTTTCTTCTTTTTTTATCTGCTTCGCCATATTCGATGCAATTATGAATGTGTTCGAGGAGGTCCGGGTTTTGTGCAAGAATTGATGGTCTTCTAGCACTCTCCCATTGTTTAACAATACCTTCTTCTTCAAGTTGGTTTTGTTTTTTAGCTATTATCCGGGCTTGATTTGCTGCATGTCGTTTAAGTGCTTCGATTTTTTTATCATTGGTTCTGACAATATCTTTTTGCTCTTGTATTCTAATAGCAAGATCGCTTCTAATACTAGTATCTGAAACTATATTGTACAAAGATTCGAATTTGGTAATCTTATTTCTTGCTGTTTTAATTTTTTTATATGAAGCTTTTTGAGCAGCAGCATTAGGACGTATTTCATATTTTTTAGAAATAGTAGAAGAAAGCGGGGTAGATACTAAATTACTTGGTCGTGACGAGTTACGACTAGAATTCTTAATGAATCTGATTGCTTGTAATAGAATTGGAGTATTCAAAAGAATTCGTATTTCTTCTTGAATAATGTCATCTCCTTTTTTTTTGATCCCACACCATTTTTCATTTCCTTCTTCAACTAATTTAGGTTTTGATGGTGATGGATTCGTGGTTAGAACTATTTGATTATAAGCAAATGTGTTTATAAAATGTTGATACAAGGTATTTGCATCCAGATATATTGAATTTTGGCATACTTTAAAACGTTTGCATTTCAATAACAAAATTTAGCACTAAAAACTTATACGAAAGGGTTTAATATATAATTTTTTTATTGCGTTTTATTTAATTTTTTTTTTTTACTTTTTGATTGGTAAAAATCGACTTTTTTATAATTAATATAATGGAAATGTTTACAGATAAGTCTTTATATTTCATTCGATTATATTTTTACAATAATTAATTTTTTTTATTTATGTATAGATTATTATTTACTCAGTACATCAAACTAAAAATGCAGAGAATTCACACACTCTCCCCGACGATCACTTGTACCAAATTTTTTACACCGAACAAGAACAAAAATTTTGTTGGAGTAGCTGACGC